TCGAGCGTCTGTTGGCTTCCCTCCGAGGAGGTACTGAGCCCCTGGACCACGGCAAGGTCGACGCCCTACCAGGGGAGGGACTCAAGCTGAAGACTTGAGACAAGCATACAGAGACGAAGATGGAGACGGCCCAAGAGTGTCACCGTAGTGATAGTAATGATGAAAGCGAAAGTGAAAAGAAGAAAGCAAGAGCGAAAAGAAGAAAGCAAGAGCGAAGAGAGGAGAGCGAGGGCGAGGGCGAGGACGAACAGAGAAAAGCGAGAGAGAAAACAACAACCCCACTGACGGACCTGTAGAAAAATAAAACTGCACGAGATGCGTCAGAAAGTAGATGATTATTGAAGCGCGAGCGCACTCACCTGTTAGTAGCGTCTGTTGGCTTCCCTCGGAGGATCGGACTCCGAGGTACTGAGCCCCTGGACCACGACAAGGTCGACGCTACCCCAGGGGACCGGTCTTCAAGCTCGTTGGAGCGCGGTGTCGAGGTTGTGTAGAGGGCGCTGCTGTTGAAGGCAGGTCGACGCCGTTCTCTCACATTCACACAGTCACACAGCTGCAGCAAAACTGAGGAGGAAGTCAGCGTGGTCATGAGTATGCGCGCATTGAAATGGAAGACTCACCGATCAATATATATTCCTCGTGGAAATCTTGAGTGTCGTGTCGAACGCCACTGCTCTAAGAGAAACTAAAAAAATCAGCGACATAGAACGAGGAGAGACGTACCTTCCGAGCGTCTGTTAGCTTCCCTCCGAGGAGGTACTGAGCCCCCTGACCACGACAAGGTCGACGCTCTACCAAGGGGAAGGACGATGCTGCTTTCGCAAGCAGAGCGCCGCACGTACCTTTACTCACACTCACACTCACGCACCTTTAAAGAAAACTAGACACGGAACATCAATAAAAGATCTAGTTAAACGAAATTAGGAGACTCCTCACCAGAACCACACTCGAATCCTGTAACATAATCTAAAACAAATCAGCGACATAATATAAGGAAAAAAGACGTACCTTGTGAGCGTCTGTTGGCTTCCCTCCGAAGAGGTACTAAGCCCCTTGACCACGACAAGGTCGACACTCTACCAAGGGGAAGGACGATGCTGCTTTCGCAAGCAGAGCGCCGCACGTACCTGTACTCAGACTCACACTCACGCACCTTTAACAAAAACTAAACACAATACATCAGTAAAACAAATCTACGCGAACGAGACAAAGTAACGGAGACTCACCACAACCTGACACGCCTATAAAACAATCTAAAAATAATTAGTTGAATAATATAAAGAAAGAGACGTACCTTGTGAGCGTCTGTTGGCTTCCCTCCGAAGAGGTACTAAGCCCCTTGACCACGACAAGGTCAACGCTCTGCCAAGGGGACCGGTCTTGAAGCTCGTTGGAGCTCGGTGTCGAGGTTGTGGTGAGGCGCTGCTGTTGAAGGCAGGTCGACGCCAATCTCTTACATTCACACAATCACACACCTGTAGGGCAACTGAGGAAGAGGTCAGCGCGGTCATTAGGATAGGTGTATCGAAAGGAAAAACTCACAGATCAATACATGTTCCCCGCGGACATGCATGAGTTTCGTGTCGGACAGAACTCCTGTGAGAGAATCTAGAGAAAATCAGCGACACGAGATAGAAAAGGGACGCACCTTGCGAGCGTCTGTTGGCTTCCCTCCGAAGAGGTACTGAGCCCCTGGACCACGACAAGGTCGACGCTCTCCCAGGGGGACTTACCTGGAATTCAGACAGACACGCAAGACAAGGGAGGAATGGGTGGGCGGTGGATGTTGCCTAGATCGAGACCGAGACCAAGACCAAGACCAAGCTCTTACATGTAACGCACCTTGGAGAACATCAAGATCACACAATATATTATCTACTACTATACTTACCTTAAGATCACGCGATATATCTAGACCTAGACCTTAGACCAAGTGAGACCTTAACTTATGTACGAGTCGATGATGAAGGATGAAGAAAGGGTGAGTAGAAGGGTGAGAAAGAAGAAAGCACAGCCGCCTAAGCCCGAGTGTATCCCAGCCGAGTGTAGCCCAAGTGGAGAGACAACGTACCTATATAGTATGAGGGAGGAAGGGAGTATAACTAGCGATGAGTTGGTCAGACGGAAGGATGGAGGAGGGAAGGTAGAAGTCGCCTAAGCTGAGGGTGTCGCCAGAGCACAGGAGTGTCGCCATAGCTGAGAGACTACTTACGAACCAAGAGACAAAGTGAGACGAGGTGGAAGGTGAAAGAGAAGGAAGGAAGGGTATAATACGGAAGAGTCGATGGTGAAGGGCGATGTCGAAGTGTGGTAGGTGGATGGAGAGAGTAACGACAAAAGAAAGGAGTAAAAAAAATAACGAAAAGAAGGAGGGTCGCCTAAGCTCTAGTAGAGTGTCGCCCAAGTCCAAGAGGGTCGCCAGAGATCACACAGGTTAGTGACGTACATACTGAGTAAGAGGGCGAGGGTAGGTGTGGGTAGGGATGGGTGAGGGTCAGTGTGGGGTGTGTGTGGACGAGGATAGGTGAGGGTTGGTGAGTGTAGGTAAGGGTCGATGAGGATAGGCGAAGGTCAGTGAGGATGGGTGAAGGTAGACGAAGGTGGGTGAAGGTAGACGAAGGTGGGTGAAGGTAGACGAAGGTAGACGAAGGTAGACGAAGGTAGATAAGGTCGATGGTGGAAGAGGGTGGAGAGCGATGGGACGATAAACGACGGGGATGGAAGATAAGCGAGGTGGGGGACGAAGAAAAGATGGAACGATAAAACGACCAAGCCAATATATACTAGCACGCGGACGACCATCCCAAAAAGGAAACGCACCTGATCGCTCGATAGATGCATGTACCTGATCGTCGAAAAAAGATAGGCGAGTCAGCGATGATGAGGGCGATGATAGAGAGGATGGGTGCGCACCTGCAAGTGGGAGGGTCGTCGACGACGGCGACGACGGCGATGATGCTGAAGATGGGGACAAGGAGGGTGGTCAGCAACGATGACGATGACGACAATGACAGAGAGAAGGGGGCGCACCTGAGAAGGAGGAGGGTCGGCGATGTTGTCGTCGATGAGGTTGGCGACGATGTTGGCGACGACAATGCTGACGT